AGGAGAAGGAGCCTTGACACGGAGCTCCTCCCTCTATTTTCGAGGAGAAGGGAGGAGCTGCTGCCTCTTAATCCCTCTATTTTAGAGGAGAACAGAGGCTCTTTGTCGTTGCGCCTCTATTTTAGAGGAGAAGGGAGCCGTCAGACTGAGCTACTGCCTCTAGTTTAGAGCAGAACGGAATCTCTGTCGCGGAGGACGGAATGCCTCTATTTTAGAGGCGAACAGAAGCTCTTTGTCATTGCGCGAAGGGAGCCTTGACACGGAGCTCCTCCCTCTATTTTAGAGGAGAAGGGAGGAGCTGCTGCCTCTTAATCCCGGAGAACAGAGGCTCTTTGTCGTTGCGCCTCTATTTTAGAGGAGAAGCCGTCAAACTGAGCTACTGCCTCTATTTTAGAGGAGAAGGGAGCCTTACATCTGCAAGGTCCCAGACCAGCAACAGCGTGCGCAGGCGAGCCGCACAGCGTGCGCAGGCGAGCCGCAGCCGAGACGTCATTTTCGTTGACCTGCGCGAGAAAAAATAAGCGCGCAATTAGTGCGCGTGCGCGTGCGAGACCAGCATGCGCGTGCGCACGCGAGACCGACATGCGCGTGCGCACGCGAGGCCGTGACCTTTCTTTGTGGGCTGCGCCAAAATCGCAGCGTACCAAATCTTCAGAGCCCGCTCTGCAAGCACCACATACTCCTCCTGTGGGATTGGGAGCCCTCCCATGAACGCAGGTCTTTGTCGCACTGCACACTTGGCATACTTGCTGAAATTCCATGCTTGCAGCTTCTCAATCTGGACGTTCAGCATGTTTTGGTCTGGCTCTGAAGTCGTAGTCACGCTGTCGGTGCAGCTCAAGCTCGATGCAAGGATGAGGCAAGCGAACACACCGGATTTGAGCGCCATGGACTAAGCTCAAGCTTATGAAGAATTGTCCATATGCCAAATTTCAATAAAAGGCCTGCATTAAAAAAAAAACTATTTAGTGACTTTTTCAAGACACCGTAAGAATGGGGCCTCCACAACGTCCCTTTCTGTTCAAAGCATCTGCTCGATAAAATCAGCAAATTGGAAATACCTTGTTTTTTCATATTTTGGATGCACTAAGTAGGAATCTCCATGTTTTTAGGGGAGCCATGCCCCATCCCCCACAAATGGCAACTCCATTTTCTACACATTTGAGGTGCTACACACTTCGCAACGAAAACACCAAGTACCACACCTGACCCTTGGCATGATGCACGTAGTTCCCCAAGCCGTGCGCCACATTCTTCTGCCACTCACCACTGGCAACGCGAAATGTCGAACCCGGTGCCCAGAGTCTGGTTTCAAAAAAGAACTAAAAATTACAAAAAATGACGAAATTGAGTAATGTGGTTAAAACAATCATAAAATATTCCCAAATTTGCCATAAATGGATGGTATAAACCTATTTTTGCTGGTAAGATTTTGATCATCCCATGTCAAAGGCCTCAGATATAGGGGGTGTACGAAAAAAGTGTTCTCTTGGCCAAAACCACACTCTCGAGACATATTAGATTTAGTTGGGTGATGCCAAAGGATGTCTGTCCGACATTTCAACGACGCACAACTTTTCTACCCACAGCCAACTGAGCCACCCATCGCAGCAATATTACTCACTAGTCAGTTCAAATTGTCATCATGCCAGGGTTGGTCTGAACGAACTACATATAACTCCGGAATCCCTCTAGGAAGCCAAATTCAGGATTTATCTTTTATGACTTCATAAAACTACACATCCCAACAGTTTCAAAACCACCTGCCCTACACCACCCTCAACAATCCTCGCTTGGTGACCACTTCGCCACCCGTCTAAAAAATGTAAGGGAACGTCAATTGGGATGATCATCCTGGGGGTGAACATCAATCATTATACTGAATATAAACACTATATACATATATGATGATGTACATATATGTATATATATACATATATGTATATACATATATATACATATAAATATGTATATAATATAGTATAATATGATATGATATAATATAATATAATATAATAATATATTTTATATAATATAATATAGTATAATATAATATAATATAATATAATTTATGTTTTATAAAATATAACAAAAATATAATATAATATAAATGTATATAATATAATATAATATGATATGATATAATATAATATAATATAACATGATACAATATAATATAATATAATATAATATAATATAATATAATATATATGTTTTATAAAATATAATATAATATAATATAATGTAATATATATGTTTTATATTATGTATAATGATTGATTCTGAAACACCGTACATATTCATTTATATATAATTAATCATATTTATATATATATATATATATAATTATATATATATACACGTATATGGTTAGATTTAATAATCTTGAAACCACGATCCTCCAGCTTACAGTGTGGCTACCACATCTTCCCTGATCCTTTCACCTGTAGATGTCCCCATCAGTGTGCACGAAGCTCCCGAGACCATGTGCGCAGTTATTCTGCCAGGAGCCCCGATAGACCTGGGCTGATCGCCACTGGCGAAACCATGTGTTTTTTTGCGCCCCAAAAAATGTGTTTTTGGGCTGGGCCGGCTGGGCAACCAGCCCATCATCCACTAGAAAAATTCTGGTTGGTGGTTGAAACACCCCTCTTTTCAAATATGAAAGTCAAATGGGACTATTGTTCCCAATATCAATATATATATATAATTATATATATATATGTGGAAACATAAAATTCATGTTCCCAACCACCAACCAGAGTTTGTCTTGCCCAAAAGAACGCATCAAAACTGCCTCCATTTCACCAGGACTCCCTGGCCGCGCCGTCAAACCAGCGCTGAACGCCAAGGCCATGCCTGCAGTGGGAGTTAAAGGATGTTAAAGCATGTTAAAGCCACTTAAGTCACTTAAGTGTCTAAGTGAAACTTCAATTTGAGAGTTAAAACTCAGATTTCTTGCCTACCTCAAATTAAGAACACCATGGTTTAGTGAAATTGCTGACTGGAGATGATTTAAGATGATGCTCTCATGATTTGATGCAAAGGCAAACAACAAATTCTCGAATATCTCCATGAATCTGGTACCCATTCGGAAAATGTCCGTGCTTCAGCAGACGCACCGGCCTCTCATTTCCAAGCCATTGGCCCGTGTAGGTGTTCCCACTTCGGAAGCGATACCTTGGCCGTGGACCAGTTCTTTGACGAGCTCCGTGGCCCGAGAAATTTGGAGTGACCCATCTTCACGTAGTTTTCACGTAGTTTTCAGGCCCTTCAAATAGACTATGAAAGTGAATCAAAATGGTCGATCTCAAAGTTTCCGGCATGACAAAGGGCATAGCATGCACACAGTTTCAAGCCCAACTAAGGTTTTTCGTCATGTTGAGTCCGAAAAACATCTCTGAAAATCTGATCAAATCAGTATACCCTCTGGTAATTTAACATAGCTATTGAAAATGGCCATTTATAGTGGGTTTACCCATTGAAAATGGTGATTTTCCATAGTTTTTTTGTATGTTTACCAGAGGGTATCCCATTCAAATTGCTCCCATCCTTTAGGGTTATCCCAGGGACAAGCTGCAAAGGACGGTCCTCCACCTCTCTTCTCTCGCCTACGGGATCAAGGATCCAGAAGTGAACGGTTGTGGTATTTAGTGGTCATAGTTAACAAACATTAATAAATAGTGGTCATCTGGTTTAACAAATAGTTTAACAACTAGTGATCATCCATGATCATCCATGTTTATCCTTCTACAAATAGTTTGAAAATGTTTGAACCATGTTGAATCATTTTGAAACATCCATAAATTTATCATGTGGTCATAGTTGATTCTATGTTTCAATAGTTGCCGAGTATTCGTCGTTTTCATCATCCAATATTTGGGGAGATTCCGCTGCACAACGGGTTTTACCAGGTGGTCAGATATGGTCAGATGTTCCTGGCGGCAACGACTGCAACTCTTCCAGATCTTGATCAAAGTACCTGTCGGAAAACAGGGTCCTGTGGAGGGTCACCCTCCGGTGTCATCATTGCCATGGGAAATCCGGAAATCCCTGAACGAAATGGAGGGAAAAACCGACTATGAATGGGGATTGAATGTGGTATGTTCCATGGTATTTTCATGTATAATTTCCATTGCCACCTGAGAAAGTCCCGGAACATGGAATCTGATGTTTTTGAGAAACTTCTGGCAGAGCTGCACTGGCAAAATCAAACACCAGCTGTTGTGATGGAGATCTGCTGTTGAAATCCCGCCAGCAGGGCACGTGTTGCTGAGAATGCTGTTGCCAGTTGCGCCAGGTGCCTGAACATGATCCGGTTCATCCTTCACCAGAGTTCATATCTACACAATTAAAGACGACCTTGGGCCAAGGTTGGTGTGATTCAGACACATTCAGACCATGTTGGCTGCCAAAATTCGACAACTCGAGATGGACCTCGCCGCATTCGCCAGCAGGAGCACCTAGAGATTTTCTTGAGGAGACAGTCCAATTGAGACATGACATTCAGCCTTGCACCATCACAAAATGACCATTTTTGTGATGGTGGTGAATCAATGGAATGGGAATGGTCTTCCAGAAGCAAAATTGCCGAAACAGCATGAAACAGCTAACCAGATGCAGTCTGGTTCATCCTATCCTTCCTAGAGGGAATCCGCCGACCCCGGGCCGGAGCAAGGGGGAGCTCGTCATGGGAATGTGAAGCACTTCATGGCCCAAAGAGACCTAGCTTCTGGGGAAGAAACCGGTACCAACTCACCAGTGTGGCACTTCATCTATTGACTTCCGGATTCAAACAAAAAAAAAAAGAAGCTGTGAGTTTCCCAGTGATGAAACCTCCAAAATGTTCAATCTTCATCCAATTGTCATCAACATCATCACTTGGATCATGATCGACAACTCCACTGCTTCCAGTCCCAGCCCAAAACACACCTGGTGCGCCTGGTGCGCATGCTTTCGTCACCTCATCGGCTGTCTGTCCTGGCGTCTGTGCGCCCTCTGCGACTCGGGCTTGCAGTAGTGCAACAAGTGGACTGGGGATATAATAGGGATATACTATAATGGTGATACAATGGGTATATAATGGGGTATATATATAACATATTATATATATATAAATATATATAATATATACACATAAATTGGATGGATCTCCAACTGTTGGAGGGTACATCATAATATTTTTCCAACCACTTCTTGGACATATCTGTCATGGGTTTCTCAAAATTTGGTTCCCCATTTGGAGACAAAATCCGTGATATGTGGAGATGTCTCATATCATCTGGGTCTGCCTGAATGGGGCGAGAAAGTCTGCGAAAGTGGTTGGTCATTTGGGTCATTTTTCTTCAAGCGTGACATATTCAAGAGATATTCAAGGTGGCAATGAATCTTTTTGGCATTACCATTCTTGGATCATGAATAGTTTCCTCATCCCTCTGCCAGATCTGTTGATGGATCCCATTTTTTGGATCCCATGACTTTGCAACCCTTGCCAGGTATCCTTCAGCCAGACATCATCCAAAGGATTGTTGGATGAGATTCCACCCAAATACCCGGTTTGCATTGCTGGTATCCACTGGTGTATCCTATAAAAAAGAGTCAAACCCCGGGTATGGGTCATAAGTTCTATCAGATTCTATCTCAAATTGAGATGCTTCATGGTTCATATACAGAACCTAACATCTGTTCTCAACAATGAGGGCCCCATATTTAGGGCACTATATAGAAAACCTCGCAGATCTCCAGTCGCCTCCAGTGTGATTAATCCCGAAGTCAAGTCAAAGCGCCGGCGAGACGAAGTCCACAACTGGAACAATCTTGCCCCATGTCATCCGACACCCTGAGCTTCACGGAAAAAATCGAGATGTCACGCAAATTGCGAAGAAATCCATTTAATTTATCAAGTAGCTATCAAATGACACATAAATGATATATGGCAAATAATATTAGATATATCATATGATGCATCTCAAATGTATGAGACATATCTGAATCAGTCTGCTTTGTCTTGTCGGTGAATAGAGCAGAGGGACATTGCCACCACCCATTCCATCCCATCAACTAAGCAATGCTGAAAAACCGTCAACCCCGCACAGTAACTCGGTGGATTTATGATCTCCATACAGTAACCTTTCAAGTGAAAATCCCTTCTATCATCATATGATATTTCGCAGATTCTAGATGATTGCAGCACAGTAATCTGAGTTCCTTCCCAGATCTTCCCCTTAGTTATTTCACAACTCGATGGATTTTCCCATTAAAACCTATTAAAACCCCATTTATGGAGGGCGTTCAATTGCCATGCTTGATGACACCTGGGGGGTAATCCCATCCGAGGAGCCGACAGCGAAACTACGGTCACCGGTCACGCCATACTACGGCGAGTTGTCGGTGCGCAGTTTCTGCTGGGAGAAACCGCTAGGAATTTTGGTGGGTTATAACATGTTATAACTTGGTTGACGTTTGGGTAAAAATGGGGGATATAAGATGATACAATTAAGTGTACTTATAGAATGGTGTTTATAAACTAACTTATGACTAGGGGACCAACCCTGTATAGATATCTGGTCCCGGCCCAATGGACCCAAAGCTGCATCTGCTTGTGTCTGGATACAAAACGAGACCCTCCAAGTCTACAATGAGGTCATGACATGGTTACCCTCTGGTTACTCTGGTTATTTAACGGCTACCCTCTGGTTCTTTAACCGTTTGCTATGGAAAATGGTCCATTTATGGATGATAAACATTATGATTTACCTGCTGGCTCTTTACCAATGACTATCCAAGCAGAGTCTTCAAGTCAATGCAGCGACCTTCAACATGCAGAGTTCAACGGGCTGGTCGTGGAACATCTTCGGGGCCCTCATCCCCATAAACTAATACCCAGATATGGAAAATGCATTGAACATGCATGAAAATCCCTGCTTTCTCAAGGAAATTGATCTACATGCGTGGTGGTTTTTCCATATCTTCATTTGCTGGAGGGTATGAATCATACCTGTTGTGCAGCACAGCACCTGTGAAGCGCCAACGCGTTTCAAAATCGCACCTGCGATGTTTTACCAAGTCCCCCGTGCGGCTCGTCCTCACATACGACTATCATTTACACGCGCAAGTTCTTGAAGCTTTGATGAAAAAAGACCAGAGAGGGGCTCTGTCACCATTTGATGGTTGTGAAACATGGGAAAATCAGCAAATATTCAATAGTTGATGCTTGGTGAGGTGTATAAATGATAAACAAGATTAAATAAGTGTATAATATATATATATATATGTCAGCGGGAAAAGAACTGCACGATGAATTGCCTGGGACTTTGTTGCGGGCAGAATTCCTCCAGCTGCAAGACTTCTGATGGCTCGAAAACGGGCATTTTGTCCACTTTTCCCAAAGCCAGAGACTTCCGACCTGGTTTTCCATTGACCTGGCAACAATTCTAACACATAACTTTACAGAAATCCAAGATCAACAGGCTGTGACACATCTGGTCTATGATCAAAGATTTGGGTTCCCCGCCCATGTTGTCCCCATAGCCATTGGATCTTCGTGATCTTCGCAGCAGAGATCCAAACCCGCAACATGTCGGGTTTCGCGGCGGTGTGCTCGCTCCATGCAATGGCGGCAAGCACTGGGCCGAACGAAAAGCACTTAGTGGGTCTAAGATGGTCTAAGTCTGAAAATGGAGACATCAATTCATGGGAGACATTAATGATAATATTAATGATCATGTTGATAATTAATAATAATAAGTGATCATATTAATGGATAAGATCTAATAAGTGGGTATAATGATGATAAGTAAGAAATGATCATGTTAAGAACTGGGTATAATGGGGATAATGATAATGATCATAGACCCAAATGACACTATTACTGGGGATAATGATCAGAATCCATCGGAAACTGGCTCGTTTTTGAGCAAAATGTTTAGGGCAGGAGTTTCTGTAAATGTTCCCATCATCCAATTTGGGGATTTTGTGGCAAGCCAATGGAGGATCTCAGCAAATACTGGTTTAAAAACAACAAATATGGTGATATGGAGATGTGGTGGGATGTAGAGCAATACCCATTTGCTTTGAAAGACAGAATAGTACGCCAGGATGACATGTTGTCATCCTTTCCCCTAAAATCCATAAATTGGGGTAGACTCTTGGCAAATTAGCTAGGCTTTCCACTGGCGTAAGTTACATCATTTCAGCATAGGATGGTTGTTGACTTTTGGACTTCGTTGAAATAGTCATTGAAGATGCTGGTCTTGTGGCAAGCCAACACACAAGAAGCTGTAGACTGGCCCAGTGAAGCACCAGTATCTGCACAAATTCAAGATCAGATCAAAAAAAAGGACGGTGATCTTCTAGCAAATAAAATCTTGGAAAAACAGGGTCTCTGGATCATATCATATGCCTAGACATCTCTAGATATCTGGATGTTTTCAATGGAATATGCGCATATATATAATATGTATGTGTATATGTACACAATATATATATATATACACACACAATCCATAATTGTAATATAAACTGTAGATATATAGTATATATAGTATATATAGTGTATATAAATATATATAGTGTATGTGTATATATATATGGTGTACATATATATATATATATATATAGTGTGTATATATAGTATATTATATATATATATACAGTGTATGTATCTTTATATTATATATAGTGTATATATATATTATACATAGTATATATGTATATATATATATATAGTGTATATATATATACAGTGTATATATATATATGTATATAGCGTATATATATATGTGTAAATATATAGCATATATATATATATGTGTATTATATATAATATTATATTATATATATATATATATTATACATATATATATAAATGCTATAGATATATATATATATACACTATATATGCTGGTGCGTTGTTGACGCAAACGAGATCTGATCTCGACGCGAGGACTATAGATGTCGCACAGATTGTTCATTGGCGATGTCGCCCACGGCCAGTTTGGCGGCTCATTGGGGCCTCTATGTGAATCACGCATCCGGTTGGTATCCGAACCTGAACAGCGGTGCGGGGTGAGCTGTTGAGGGATGTGGAGCGGGAGGATAGCATGTTGACCTCCATCAAATATCATTACTGTATTTTACCAGGTCAACCGACAATGCGGTAAATACTATACAAACCGTTAAGCGGTCAGCACTGTTTTGAACCAACGCTATCGGGTAGATCGATGATATGTACAATACATGGTTTTACTGCAGGAGTTTTTACACCCCCCTCGGGCGAGCAGGGACGACTGCGGAGAACGAATAACCCAGAAGAGCATACCCTCGCGGGTAGCCAACTTTCTTTATTTGGTTTTAGACATTTTATGCAGTCTTTCAAAGGTCCCTCTAAAAGCTCAAGCCCGTAAAACCCAGCGCAGCGTTGCAAGGAAGGCACATTACCATGCCGCATCTTGCGCTATGCTACAAAAGAAAATCATCGTCTCCCTAACGGTTCCAAAAGATCCAACGGCCGCCGGCCTCGTCACGGTAATACCAAGCCCCACGCCAGAAACTCCATTCTCGACGTGCACCATAGTGATCACGATTCCAACTCCAAGAGGCATCCGGGCGACCGGAGCTTGCAGCCTTCGATGTGACTGTGCTTGCTGCTTTTGCAGTGGGCGGCGTCTCAGGCTCCAAGAATGGTCGTGCTCCTCCTTTGGGTGTTGGTGGTTCTGGTGCAAGAAATGGTGCTGCTTTGGGACCAAATGAGGCATCAACGTGCGAGGCGTCCGCGTGAGCGGAGCTTGAGGCGGCTGTGTCATCATGTCCAGTGGCGGATGCGTCAACTTCGGCTTTGCGTTTTCGCTCGATGGTGGGCGCGACCGTGGGGTCGGCCTTTTGACCTCCAGGACCTCCAGCCTTTGCAGCGGCGCTCTGTTTCTCCTTGCGTTCAAGGTTGCCCCGAACCAATGGGAGGTTTTCCTCATACAGCTTTTCAAGGAATTCAAGAGTGCCATCAAAAGGAACTTGGACGGTGCCCTTCCAGGTCAGCAGGCCACGGTATGCGCCACGACGGCCGATGTAGTTGACATATTCATCTTCTGTAAAAATGTGGCGGCCGAACATGAAACCCCAAGTTTTCTTCCATGTTTTGCGGAATTCAACTGGGAACCCTTCCACACCTCGAGGTTGGGACATGAAAATCAACTTTGATAAGCAGTTTTCATTTTGGGCATTGGCGGCGACGCCAGCCGAGATCTGAGCTCTGGTTCTGGGTGGATCAGGGAGGTTGGCGTATGCGAACATATCGTCAAAGATACAGTCCTTTAAGCCCTTCCCCTCCCCGTGGATGCGGTCACAAAACGTGACGTCACTGGCAAAGCGATCTTCAACGTCCTCGTAGCCCAGTGTCTTTGCACGCTTGTGTCTATCGCGGCAGTCTTTGAGGACTGCTGATTCCACAGATGTGATCCCCCTGGGGCCCAGTTCCCGGCGAAGAAGATCGGCTTGCTCATTTGTCAAAGCCGTCAACAAGGTGCCGCTCATTTTCCCAAACATTCCGAACCCGGCGAGACTCTGCATTCGCCGTTCAAGGATACGGGTCCTCCTGTTGGGTTGATCGGCCTCTTTTGTTTCGCCACTTTCGTCCACTGGAAGTGGCTCATATCCACATGTGGTGCATGTCACTTGGCCACTGACGTACTCGACCTGGCAGAGAGGGCAGGTGCCCATGAAAGGTTCGCAGTACTTTGGTGCAATGTAAACACGGCGCGCCCTCGCGGGCGGCTGGTCAACTTGCATTGGGTCAGTGGCGGCATCATCGGTGGATTTGGCGTCATCAGTGGATCTGGCATCGGGTCGCCCCGTGCTGGTGTCATCCATTGGGTCGTCATTTGCATCATCTCGGGCAGTCAGGGTGACCGCTTTGGATTTCGGTGATGAAGCTGGTTCCGCGCCTGTCCAAGTGCTGGGCTCGAGATTGCTCTCGGCGCGGGACCAAAGCACCTTTCCATCCTCTGAGATGCTGACCAGAAATTGGGGTGGGATGCGTTCTGAACACAAAATACCATCCATTTCTGTGCGACTAAAGATGACACCAGCTTCAACTGCCTGCCGCATTGCGATTTTGATTTCGACTGGACATTTTGCTCTTAATCCAGATCGATATCCCTGCGTGCCGATACAGTGTTCTGCCATGTAGATATGAGCACGGCCACTGTTGACTGTGTCACCTCCGCCTGGGATCAGGCCGTTCTGTGCGATGCTCTTCCAACTGCTTCTCATCGTACGATGAAAAACAATTTCAGGGACCTCAGTCATGGCACACAAGGGCACGCCTGTGAAGGCGGCTTTTCGCTCGGGGGAAACTTGGTCTGAGCAATACACCATGGTTGAGTTGGCATAGAGGCCCCCGGCGGTCTTCAAGGCAGCTTGGGAATGACCCTGAATTGCACGAATTTTCACAGGATAATACGGCATGCCTAGGCCATTGTCGACAGGGAAATGGGAGATCTTTGCACACAAGAATTGGAACCTACTCTTGCCATGCTTGTCGATCTTCATTGCGGTGCCAAAAAGGTTTGAGACGGTGATGAAAATGTCTGGGGGCACTTCCTTGCGGAAGGCTTTGGCAAAATCCTCCAAGTCAATCCAAAGGTCTTTGTCCATTGGCACCTTGGCACAGGATCCATGCCCCCTGCAAACTTTATTGACACGGGTTGCAAAGTCGGAAAATTTCTTGTCGACGCGAGTCTGGCCAGCAATGGTCTCGACGTCGGATGCCGATAGCAGTTCCAGTTCGTAAGCCGTACCTTCAAAAAGGATCCCGGGTACATCGTCCCCGTCTGCATTGGTCACCATTGTATATTGGTATTCAGGCAAATGCTCTTCCATCCAATATGCTTTCACGTGGCCGGATGCATGTTCCTCTAAGCGCGCAGTTGCCTGCGGCTGGTACTGGCTTGATGTGGCTCTTGTGTCATCTGCGGACTCAGCCAATGGGACTGGTGCTGCTTTCGGTCGCGACTTCAACAAGATCTCAGCCGTTTGGACCAGGATTGTTGCTCTGCTGGGTGCAGCGGGCTCGCCGTCGCCGGCGGCCGGTTTTGGAGGATCATCTTTGGGAGGCTCAGCAAAGGTTCCCGCAGGCATCGTCTTGATGTCGATGTAGTCCTCTGTGTCAGGTTGTTGAGCTTCAACGTCCTCCCTGGTGAATGACCTGCCCGTCGGCGTGATGTGTCGTCGGGACTCTCCAAAAAGCAACTTGGTGATGTTTGCACATGTCTCCTGATAAGATCTTGGCAGCTCGTCGAGGACGGCGCTCATGTTCCTTCGCAAATCATCCCATGTTTCCTGGCCACATTGAGCAAGCTCAAGACCTATTCGGCCAACCCGCCATCCACAGTCAATGGCAAACAAAGTTGCCGTCCAGTATGCAGAGAGCCGTGTGCGATTTTCTTCAGAGTTGGCGAAATGCCACTGGTCTCTGAATTCCATTGCATCGACTTACCCCTTTGCACGCAACCATGGAAATTTCGGGTTGGCAAGCCCTTGCAGGCTGCTGGTCAAGGCTTTGAACTTTGGCTCCAAGGTTTCAAAGAACTGGTCGAAAATCGGATGAATACCATAGTCAGCAGACCAGGGCGCGGTGGTGAGACCGGCCGATTGCAGATCCAATTCACGGGCTTTGTTGACAAACCAAGTCAAATGGCGTTCGCAATCATCCATGATCGTGGGCCAGTGCCCGTTGGGACCATCGTATGGCCAATTTGGATTTTGGGCGATCCCATCCTCACCTACCAATTCATTTCCGAACCAGGACAAATGAAGGTTGATACGGGCATCAGGATAGCGCTCGCGGGCGTCCGCGGCCAATTCAATCCCACGTTTGACCAGCTTCTGCAGAGTTTTGCCCCAAAGCATCTCATGGATGAACTCAGTCACATACTTAGGTTTACGCTGCCGAAAATGCTCGGACAGATCGTATTTCTTAAGTGTTTTCCTACGCCCTGTGATCAGTGCACATGACGAGTCAGAGACTAAGATCCAGATTACTTCATTGACAGGCATCTCTGGCAACATGATCTTTTCGATGTGGGACTCTTTTGGCAAAAAGCAGAAGCTGAGATATTCTGCAAGCGGATCCTCTCGACCGTAGAACCTCAGGGCCGAAGCCGGCGTCCATTCAGTCATCAATCCATCCACGAGGTCCTGAGATACCTGAGTCTCACCTTCATTGCGCATGGCCAACGAAAACAAAATGCGATTGTGAAGGAGCAGCCATGCTTCTTTGTTAGCCTCACGTGTGGCTTCGAGCGCAGCCTCGCGGCTGGCCGGGTGTGCTGTGGCATATCGCGAGTCAGCCATTTTAGCAGGACAGGCACGAATGACAGCGGGTGAAGTCCTTTTGGGAGTTTGGCCCGCCACAGCTACCCGGAAACACTCATGGAGCATGTCAGTCAACTTGAAAGTATAGTTCTCGGCAAGTTTAAGAGCTTTGCCCCTACTTTGATCATGCTCATGTTTGCCATCACATTTGAATGAGTCTAACATCGCAAGTTCTTTGAAGTTTCCCGCAATGGTCCAACTCTTCTTCATTGGTTGGCCGTTGTTTCCAAGAACACCCAACATACAACCATCAAAGTGATGAGTAGTCATGGCTCGTTCTATGAGGAATTTTCTAACCATCGGCCATCTCCAATATTTGCAATTCTTGGACAGTTCAAATGCTATCAAGGTTCGTTCATCATGAATTTCATCCACAAGTTTGACAAAAGATTTGAACAACTTGGTAAACTGTTTTTGTTGCTCTTTGATTCTTTCTTGACCCTCGACAGTAAGGCCATTGACGTTCCCCCATGGGCTACCCCCGACACAAGGCAGTGATGCGTAAAGTATCAAAGTGCCGTCATTGAAATCATTTCTGAAGTCTTTGACTTGGGAGGCTAGCCGTTGCCGACAGCTGGTAGTGGTACCGTCTTCTTTCTCGGTAACCCTAATGCAGTGGCAATCTTCATTGGACTTTCTTGGGGTACTAAGCTTTGAATCATCGGAGCAACAAAACTCGAT